CCTTCTCGTTAGAGACCTTCTGGATCCAGCTTATTCGAAGCATGCGACGATAGCACCACATCTCAAATGCTTCTAAGCGCCGGCGGGTATCTTCTTTAATTGTCCAAGCTTCACAGCCGTACAGAACAATTGGCCATATGTAACAAAGGAGAAGTCGGACTCGGAGTTTAATGGTCATGTGACGGCAGCACAAAACTTTCCTCATTTTGTTGAAAGATCCTCGGGCAATTTCGATTCGAGACCTAATTTCCTGATCAGGATTCCACTCGTTTGTAACCCAAGTTCCCAAATACTTGTATTGCCGCACCCGTTCCAACGTTCTACCAGCTACGGATAAATTAGGAACTAAAGTATCGTTTCGGGAAATGACCATCACCTTCGTCTTTACTGCATTAATAGTCAGACCGTCTCTTTCGCTAGTTTCATGAACTTTATTAACAAGCATTTGTAAATCATCCATTGACGAGGCTATTAAAACAGTGTCGTCTGCATAGCGAATGTTGTTGATTATCTTTCCGTTAACTTTCACACCAACCTCTAACCCCTCAATGGCCTCTGATATAGTTGCTTCGGAATATACATTGAATAGCAACGGAGATAATATACAACCTTGACGAACACCACGGTAAATACCAATCACATCCGTTTCCTCGTGATGCACTTTCACGGTTGCTTTTTGGTCTTTGTACAGGTTTCTGATTACTCTTAGATCCTTTTCATCGAGACCGGTGTCAATTAAACGATTTATGAGAACGTCATGCTTTACCTTGTCAAAAGCTTTTTCATAGTCTATAAAGCATAGGAAGACGTCATTCTGCATATCTTGACACTTCTGTACAAGGACATTCAGAGCAAAAAGAGCCTCACGTGTGCCTACACCAGAGCGAAAGCCAAACTGGTTATCTCCCAATTGTTCGTCACACTTACTTCTTATCCTGTTATGTATGACGGTCAAAAATAACTTTAGCACGTGGCTCATAAGACTAATTGTACGATATTCCTCGCATTTTCTAGCGTTTTTCTTTTTCGGGAGGGTAATAAACGTAGATCTTAGCCACTCGGTTGGGAGGTCACCTGTGTCATAAATGTGATTGAATAATCGTTTGAGCAAGTTTATGTTCTCCCCTTCCAAGAGTTTAACGACCTCTACTGGGATGCCATCTGGACCTGGGGTTCTGCCCAATTTAGCCAATTTTAACGCATATAAAATTTCTGCTTTTATTATGGGTGGGCCAGTATCATTACCAGTTAAGGACATTGCGAGGTGTCTTGTTGGGTCTTCAAACATTTTTGATATGTATTCCAACCATCTATCCTTCTTGGCCTCAATACTAAAAAGTAGCTGCCCGTTTGTATCGGCTAAGCTAGTTAAATTGCTGCACTTAAGTCCCAACATTTCTTTAATATTTTTGTGCACATTGAAGCTATCGTGTTTGTTGTGCAGGTCTTCCATGATTTCACACTTATTTTTGAAATGCGTCTCACGAGCCTTCTTAATTTCTTTTCTAATAATATTATCGAGCTCCTTATAGCGCAGAGGATCAATATTCTTGCACAATCTCCGATCTTCCATTAGCTGTATAATGAAATCACTCATCCATTCCTGCTTCTTCGTTGTTGTCGATGGTCGAAGGAACTTAGTACAGGTATTATGTATAGCTTGCTTGAGGCAGGTCCATATTTCAGGACTTGTTATTGAAGGAGATAATTTACTCAATTGATCATTCAGATCGTTCGAGACTTCGAGTTTGGTGTTCGGATCCGTAAGCTTTTTTAGATTTAATTTCACTTGCTGGCTCTTTGTTATATAAAGGTACGTACTGATAACTGAACATTTGAAGAAAAAATCCTTGTTAACCATACATGTGTTTGATTAAGACAATTATGTAATAGTTGGATATACATACTTATATTCAGAAAATCTTTACTTTAATATTTTACACTTCCCGCTATCAGTGTCGTTGCCTAGACTATATAATTTGTGGTCACTGCACAAATCATTTTTACACACAATTATCTGCCCATCTTTTAATAAACGCTTTCACCTCCCGATTTTGCGGATTTTGCACATCCGTCAGCGTTCAAAAAATAAATCAAAGAATAGCATCTACTGCGTCGTTTTTCAAAGGTCTACTTGGTACTAATTGGTAGTTTCAAAATCTTTTGTCTTGTATGTTTCGCTGTCTTCAAGTTAAATTCGAAACGAGTTTACGTGCAATATGTAAGAACTTTAATTTTTAGAATAAATAATGAAACGAACATAGCTAGCTAGTAGTATAAAATATAAAAAAAGGGTGCGTGTACTTATGTACGCGCGTAAGAAGTTATACATCTTTGGCTTTCTTTATTTTTTTAAAATATTAAATAATTAATAACAAATATTTAACGTTAAAAATACAGATATAATATATACCACTTCAAGTACGCCAGTAAAAATTTGCTCTGAAACAACGGTTGGCACTTCTTTACAAAGAAATTTTTGTAATAGCGAGTAAGCCACACTGCCTATATAATCTGTGCAGTTGAAAAATGACATATGACACTGTTGGCCTAAAGATCTAGATACCAGGCCATAAACTCCAAAAAAAACATATGACACTGTGACTGAATAATTGTTCAAGTCAACTATAGTCGAATTTTTAATTAGACGAAGCTATCTGACAGTAGCTAATGTCACTTAGTAAAATAATGTTGCCACATTTAAAGTAATAGTGATACATTCAGTTCTTGTTCAATCAGATGAATGAACAATGAGTGAGTGTGAATAGTTAATCATTTCAAACTATAAAATAATATTATTACTATTTTAAAATTGTATAAAAGATTTCTGATATAAGTTAGGTACTAGTAGTATGTAACTACAATCAGTTTTTTGACGGCTGTAATACAGAGCGCGGCGAGGCGACTAGTGCCAACACCGATCGACGACGCGCGCGTCGGTCGCCATTTTGTTTGTCATTCGGCTTCTAACCTCTGGTCTGATAGCACGAATGTTTTTTCTGCGCTCACGCTGTTTAGTTATAGTTTTTGTTAAGTTTTTCATTACGTTGTGTTTGTGGTTATTGTTGTGTTTTTTTATTTCTATATTGTTTCGTAAAAACGATATGGATCCTCAACCAAGCACGTCAAGCCAAAGCTTGTCTCCAAGAAAGAAGAGACCACGGATTGCTTTAAGCGTTACCGAAAAAGTTATGATACAAAACGTCTACAAACACGTATTTGAGGAGAAAGCTGCTTTACTATTACCTATTGAGGCTCCCGAAAAAAAAGAATGTGTTTCGAAAACAGCTGACATTTTGGGAATTAGCGTGACCTCAGTTTACAGTGTATTAAAAGAATACAAAAAAAATGAACAATTTAAGTCTCCCGAGAAACGTGGACCGAAACACAATTTCAAAGATAAATTAGACGATTTTACTTTGGCCGCTATAAGGCGAAAAGTTCATAATTTTTTTATGCAAATGAGTCACCCACCATTATAAAGGTAACAAACTTTATTCCATCGACTGCATTATATTCTGTGTCCACAATAATGATCTTTGTTAAACCAAAGTATTAGATTGCGTAGACTTCCTTACTCAAAAACGTTTTTTATTACTTCACAGATTCTTAAGGTTGTCAATGAAGACCCAGACTTACCCAATTTTTCTTGGAGTACATTAAGAAATGTTATGAAACATTTAAATTTCAAATATGTCACAAAATCAAGAAAAAGCATGTTAATTGACAGACAGGACATTATGTTATGGCGCCAGCGATACCTTCGCAAAATTAAAGAGTATCGAAGGGAAGGAAGGTATATTTATTACCAAGATGAAACCTGGATCAACGAAGGTAATTACAATTTTCTGTTTTCTTTACATTAAATTGTACTTTCATTAACTAATTGTTATTTTTCATTATCTTGTAGGTCATGCACCGAAGAAGGCATGGATTGACCAGACAGTGTTATCGACTCGCCAGGCCTTCCTAGATGGCCTGACTACTGGCTTAAAACAGCCTTCAGGAAAGGGCAAACGATTAATTATCGGCCACATAGGTGGGGAAGAAGGATTCGTAGAAGACAGCTTACTAATATTTGAAGCCAAAAAAGTAAAGAAGACTATCATCAAGAAATGAATGCCGATTCCTTTGAGAAGTGGTTTAGTGGAGTCTTGCCAAAACTAAAACCAAATTCCGTTGTAGTGCTAGATAATGCCCCCTACCACTCCAGGAAACTAGAATCGCTGCCTAAAATGTCTTGGACTAAACCTTAAATACAAGAGTGGCTAACGAGCAAAAATATTTCATTCGAAGCAACAATGGTTAAAGCTACTCTTATAGACTTAAACTAATCACACCTGATAAATGGCGTAGCTGCGTGTCTCACATAATGAAAGAAGAAGATAAAATGTATGGTCTCGACGACATGATCGACAATGTTTCAGACAGATTTATTATTAATGTCACCGAAAGCGATAGTGATGATTTTTTATCTGATGATGAATAAAAACAAATTATGTAATAAGCGATGTTTATTATTTTCATTACCAACCTATAATTGTTATATTATTAAACATCTATAGTATAAACTACATGATATATTGAGAATAGGACAGTCTTACAAGTTTCCTCGCAATGATTTCCTTAATGTTAAAAACAATTAGTATTTAGTACTAAACTCGTTGGTATGTTCAAAGCACGACTAAAATTCGAACCCGTATCCGATATCGGCAGTACGCAACGTTAACTATTCACTAGGCAATCGAGGCAATTTTATTAATTCAGGAGTTTTTTCAATCATTCACAAATCATGTGACAAACACAACACTATTTTTATTTCATTAAAAACTGACAACACCGTAAACGTCAGTTGATATCGTCTAATTAAAAATTCGACTATAGTTCAAAAATTCAACCTGCAATAATAAAGCAATAATTTTTTAAAACACGAAGTGCATTAATTTTTGACTTAAAGATAATTTCACAAATTCGTGAAATAATTTGAAAATAAAGTCATTATGATAGTTAATTTCGACAAGCTTTGTGAAGAATTAGAAAAACAAGAACTAGAGGTAAACTTATAGCAGTTAAGAAGCTGTATTTTGTTTTTGTAGATGTTATTCTAAAACAAGTTTTTTATTTCAGGCTCCAAATGGAGTAGCTACAACAACTACTTATGCTCAGCTTCTTGCAATCTATTTGTATCAAAATGACTTGTAAGATAATTTGTAAATTTATGCTTTTCATGTAATTTTGTCTTAATAACCTAGCTTACATTATGAAATTTTCATATTCAGATGCAATGCTAAATTTTTATGGAAGAGGATACCTCAAAATATCACATCTAGTAATCCAGAAATAGCAGCAATTTGGGCAGTTGGGAGAAAATTGTGGAAAAAAGACCTTCCTCGTGTATTCCAAACTCTTGCAGCATACCATTGGGAAGAACCAGTAGCTACTATAATGAGAGCTCTTGAAGGTGGTTATTTACTAAATATTATATAATAGCTATAGACTTTCAAGCCAAACATTAAGGTTTATAACTGCATCTTTCCCATAATTTAACAGAAGGAGAATATCAGTATTTTTATGAAACATGATCACCAAGCATAGCACATTGATCTCAATCAATCTTGCTTATCTGTGGTTTGTAGACCATTTTCATTAAATATACTTATATATGTAATATTCATTATATTACTACGTTAGGTGAAACTTGGACTTGTTACCTTGATTGGAATATACTTGAAATCAAAATCTTGAATTTACTTTTAGTTTCCAAATTGTGAATATCCAATATTTAGTTTTTGTGCTCAGATAAGGGATAAATATATTATTATACTCAAATATTATTTAAGTCACATAGTGTCGTAACCCATATCACTGTAAGTTGATTGAAAATTGGTGTAAAATACAATTCTCTTTCAAAGGATAAGTTTCTTTATTAGTTCTTATTAAAATGTATAATGTGATTGTAATCATTTTCAGAAAATGTGCGTGAAAGAGTATTTAATTTAATAGGAAAGTCATACAGTTCAATATCAATAGAGACAGTGGTTTCTACAACTTGGCTAAGCAAAGAAGCAGTGTTACAAATATGTAGAGATCGTAAATGGGAGTTGAATGAAGATGGTGTCACTGTGAATCCTACTCCTCCAGTCCAGCCAGCGCCATTGCACACCTCTAGTGAAGATCAACTTTTTAAGCTGACAGATTTTGTGTCATTCTTAGAAAACTAAGTAAGTCTTGTTTAAATTTTTTGTATAATAAAGTATTTAAACTAATAAAGTCTTTCAGTAGCTATAAAGTATAAACAATTTATCTTAAAAACCTATAATTGGTAAATAATTTATTTAATTACCTTATAGTAATCAAATTTTCACTTTGATATGACTATAAGACAACCATTTTGTAATAGCGATATGATATTTTACTTAATTTTCACTGTGATTTGTGTCTAATCAATGATTTGCATTTATAACTATGATGTTTTTAATTATAGTATCTCAATTTGAAATAAGAATACTGCTTAATTATTTTAGTAAGGTAGCCAATTTGGAGCCTCGCATCAAATCATACTATTATTCAGTCAACATCACCATGTTGTGTTACAAATCACATGAGACAATTACAGAAATAAAAGATCAGCATTTAAAAAAATTGTCTTAAAAATTACATATATTGTAAAGTTTATGTGGCAGTGTACATACTAAATCTATTATGTAATAAGAAATATAAAAAGTCTAGAAAACAATATGAAATGTTAACTTTCGTTGTCATAAAAATTTAAGAAATCTCTTAATATATCACAAGTCAATTCTATAAAATATTCCTAAGATTAATTTCTAACTATGCTAAATGAGTATCTACGATTGCATTAACTAGGCGTTGATAAAATTAAAAAATTGCATCTTAGTGTTCACGAAACGAACTAAAAAAAATTAAGGTTTGTTTTGTTTTACAAAGGAACATGTTTGAGTAATGTCAAGATGAAGTAATATTCAGACATTGTGACATAGTGTCATTAGTACAAAGACAATTTTACACATAGACCAATAAATGGTTTTGTGCCCCACAAATATAAATTGCGTAGATTAGTAATTTTTACATAAATCAAGTAAGAAGCAGTGAGTGTGAACTACCCTGACAACAATTTGACGTTTCCGTAAACACTAAAATGCGAATCACTGAAATCTTGTTGAGAAAGAGACTTGGTTCTGTCTTGGTTGAAGTCTCATGGAATTACTGTCGTCTTCATCGCCTAGTGTTGTTTCGTATCCGCGGTTCACCATTCCTCCATTAGGTTCACCAAAGACATCTTTCACCGATATATTGGCAGTGGATGTTCGATGCCGCGGGGCGATGCCATGGTTGTTGTTAAGCTGCAAGTAGTAAAAGACAATAACATCAAACCATGGGACTATAGATTGATATAAAAAAAACTTTTAGACTCTATGATATAAATTATCAGCTAATTTATTAAATCATTGATACTTCAAATTTATTTAGTATTATTTTTATGTAAGTCGACGATATGGTGGACAGAAAAATTTATTATCCATCGTCATATTCTGTTTATTTTAATATTTAGTAAATAAGTCAATTTAGATAATTTTCTTGACATTAGATATTGATGCTTACCTAATCAGGTTTAGCAATTAAACAAAAAGTCAAGCAATTTTTGCATTTTTTTTCATGCATGTGTTTTTCTTTACAAAACTGCTAAAAATTAATCCAAGTTGGACTACTCCATTCTCAGAAATGATTCTACATCTTATTAATTTAATACATAGCTGAATTTAAAGTCTTTTACCATTCCTGCAACTCCATATTCATTATTAGCGCCTAGTGTTTGCATCTGCGATTTCCTTCGCTCAGCCATCACAGAATTTCTTCTTGTTTCCAACGCTTTCAAAGTCTCTCTGCGTAAAGTCATCTTTCGATTCAAAACTGGAGTGCCTGAAAATGAGTTTAAGACTATATTTTAAATCCTAACAACATTACCTAACGCATATATGTTCTTAAGAGCACGTTTTTTGTAACACGTATTAAGTATGCCCGCCCTGCTCTTTCCTCCCCCCCCCCCCCCCCCCCCCCCCCCCCCCCCCCCCCCCCCCCCCCCCCCCCAAAAACAAAACCCCCCCCTCCCCCCGGCCCCGGGCCCCCCCGCCCCCCCCAAACCCCCCCCCCCCCCCCCCCCCCCCCCAGACGGCCCCCCCCCCCCCCCCCCCCCCCCCCCCCCGCCCCCCCCCCCCCCCCCCCCCCCCCCCCCCCCCCCCCCCCCCCCCCCACCCCCCCCCCCCGCCCCCCCCCCCCCCCCCCCCCCCCCGCCGCCCCCCCCCCCCCCCCCGGGCCCCCCCCCCCCCCCCGGCGCCCCCCCCCCCCCCCCCCCCCCCCCCCCCCCCCCCCCCCCCCCCCCCCCCCCCCCCCCCCCCGGCCCCCCCCCCCCCCCCCGGGCCCCCCCCCCCCCCCCCCCCCCCCCCCCCCCCCCCCCCCCCCCCCCCCCCCGGCGCCCCCCCCCCCCCCCCCGGGCCCCCCCCCCCCCCCCCCCCCCCCCCCCCCCCCCCCCCCCCCCCCCCCCCCCCCCCCCCCCCCCCCCCCCCCCCCGCCCCCCCCCCCCCCCCCCCCCCCCCCCCCCCCCCCCCCCCCCCCCCCCCCCCCCCCCCCCCCCCCCCCCGGCGGGGGGGGGGGGGGGGGGGGGGGGGGGGGGGGGCGGCCCGGGGGGGCGGGCCCCCCCCCCCCCCCCCCCCCCGCCCCCCCCCCCCCCCCCCCCCGGGGGGGCCGCCGGGGGGGGGGGCCCCCGCCCCCCCGCCCCCCCCGCCCCCCCCCGGGGCGGCCCCCCCCCCCCCCGGCGGCCCCCCCCCCGGGGGCCGGCCCCCGCGGGGGGGGGGGCCCCGCGCGCCCCCCCCCGCGGGGGGGGGGCCCCCCGGGCCCGGCCGCCCCGCGCCCCCCCCCCCCCCCCCCCCCCCCCCCCCCCCCCCCCCCCCCCCCCCCCCCCCCCCCCCCCCCCCCCCCCCCCCCCCCCCCCCCCCCCCCCCCCCCCCCCCCCCCCCCCCCCCCCCCCCCCCCCCCCCCCCCCCCCCCCCCCCCCCCCCCCCCCCCCCCCCCCCCCCCCCCCCCCCCCCCCCCCCCCCCCCCCCCCCCCCCCCCCCCCCCCCCCCCCCCCCCCCCCCCCCCCCCCCCCCCCCCCCCCCCCCCCCCCCCCCCCCCCCCCCCCCCCCCCCCCCCCCCCCCCCCCCCCCCCCCCCCCCCCCCCCCCCCCCCCCCCCCCCCCCCCCCCCCCCCCCCCCCCCCCCCCCCCCCCCCCCCCCCCCCCCCCCCCCCCCCCCCCCCCCCCCCCCCCCCCCCCCCCCCCCCCCCCCCCCCCCCCCCCCCCCCCCCCCCCCCCCCCCCCCCCCCCCCCCCCCCCCCCCCCCCCCCCCCCCCCCCCCCCCCCCCCCCCCCCCCCCCCCCCCCCCCCCCCCCCCCCCCCCCCCCCCCCCCCCCCCCCCCCCCCCCCCCCCCCCCCCCCCCCCCCCCCCCCCCCCCCCCCCCCCCCCCCCCCCCCCCCCCCCCCCCCCCCCCCCCCCCCCCCCCCCCCCCCCCCCCCCCCCCCCCCCCCCCCCCCCCCCCCCCCCCCCCCCCCCCCCCCCCCCCCCCCCCCCCCCCCCCCCCCCCCCCCCCCCCCCCCCCCCCCCGGCCCCCCCGGCCGGCGGCCCCCCCCCCCCCCCCCCCCCCCCCCCCCCCCCCCCCCCCCCCCCCCCCCCCCCCCCCCCCCCCCCCCCCCCCCCCCCCCCCCCCCCCCCCCCCCCCCCCCCCCCCCCCCCCCCCCCCCCCCCCCCCCCCCCCCCCCCCCCCCCCCCCCCCCCCCCCCCCCCCCCCCCCCCCCCCCCCCCCCCCCCCCCCCCCCCCCCCCCCCCCCCCCCCCCCCCCCCCCCCCCCCCCCCCCCCCCCCCCCCCCCCCCCCCCCCCCCCCCCCCCCCCCCCCCCCCCCCCCCCCCCCCCCCCCCCCCCCCCCCCCCCCCCCCCCCCCCCCCCCCCCCCCCCCCCCCCCCCCGCCCCCCCCCCCCCCCCCCCCCCCCCCCCCCCCCCCCCCCCCCCCCCCCCCCCCCCCCCCCCCCCCCCCCCCCCCCCCCCCCCCCCCCCCCCCCCCCCCCCCCCCCCCCCCCCCCCCCCCCCCCCCCCCCCCCCCCCCCCCCCCCCCCCCCCCCCCCCCCCCCCCCCCCCCCCCCCCCCCCCCCCCCCCCCCCCCCCCCCCCCCCCCCCCCCCCCCCCCCCCCCCCCCCCCCCCCCCCCCCCCCCCCCCCCCCCCCCCCCCCCCCCCCCCCCCCCCCCCCCCCCCCCCCCCCCCCCCCCCCCCCCCCCCCCCCCCCCCCCCCCCCCCCCCCCCCCCCCCCCCCCCCCCCCCCCCCCCCCCCCCCCCCCCCCCCCCCCCCCCCCCCCCCCCCCCCCCCCCCCCCCCCCCCCCCCCCCCCCCCCCCCCCCCCCCCCCCCCCCCCCCCCCCCCCCCCCCCCCCCCCCCCCCCCCCCCCCCCCCCCCCCCCCCCCCCCCCCCCCCCCCCCCCCCCCCCCCCCCCCCCCCCCCCCCCCCCCCCCCCCCCCCCCCCCCCCCCCCCCCCCCCCCCCCCCCCCCCCCCCCCCCCCCCCCCCCCCCCCCCCCCCCCCCCCCCCCCCCCCCCCCCCCCCCCCCCCCCCCCCCCCCCCCCCCCCCCCCCCCCCCCCCCCCCCCCCCCCCCCCCCCCCCCCCCCCCCCCCCCCCCCCCCCCCCCCCCCCCCCCCCCCCCCCCCCCCCCCCCCCCCCCCCCCCCCCCCCCCCCCCCCCCCCCCCCCCCCCCCCCCCCCCCCCCCCCTTCTTCTTTTTTTTTTTTTTCCCCCCCCCCCCCCCCCCCCCCCCCCCAAAAAAAAAAAAAAAAAAAGTATGTTTGTACCTGGACCATCATTTGCGTTCATATTAAAGAAACGCTTCTTGAACGCAACGTCTAAAGTGCCGATGTTTCTCTTCTTCTGTCTCGCTTTTTCCAAATTATGGATGGTCTTGCGTCTACCAACGTTCTGAGGACCCGACCCAGAGTCGTTATCGTATTCGTCGTCCAACCCGTTAAGTTTTTGCAAATCTTTTACTATTGCTATTGCATTCTTATCGAGAAGCGCATCTTGTGACAAATCGTCAGCCTGAAACACGACACCGAAGTTAACTTTATTAATCACAAGCATACCGATATACATATAGTAAGTATATCTAGAGTAGGTAATAACTTGTACAATATAGTAAATGTACCTTCTTAGTGCAGAACCAATTAAGTTCTGTTGAAGCTAATATATGTGAAATAGTTCCAAACCTATGGAACAACATAGCCGAAAATTGGATTACGAGAATAAGAGCAAAGAAGAATACGAAGACTAAACCAATTGGTTCCAGTTGTAAATATTCCTTTGAAATAAGCACCTGGAACATACAAAATCGTTAAAATCTGGAAGACACAATTATGGCGGAAAGCAATACAAATCAAGCGAATAATAGCCACACCCATACCATAAATAAAAGGTTCACAATTACAAACATACCACGCGTGCGACATTCATGTATCACAGGAAAAATTGTGCCTTATAAAATAAAATTTTAATAAATTAGCAGAAGTTGGGAAACATTGGTTACAGAAAGATTTTGTAACGAAATTGGTCATTGTTAAACAAATCACCACCAGGGTGGGATTATGGGTACACAAACAAATAACACTTATTTGTTAAAACAAAAAACTAAAATTTAATTGAAGATCCACCACCATAGAAAACAGATCACAGGTGACATTAGGGAAGTGCAATTATTAAGGTTGCGTCATGTGGTCTAATAGATCAGAAATATCATATAAACGATTCTGATTCTTTAAAGAGTGAATCTAGCTTTGGGGGTTTAGGGTTGTGTGGAATTAGGTGACACCAAATTGTTTAATAGACGGTGTAGAAGATAACTGGATCTTCATGCTGGTGTGCCATCCCGAAAGAGACCGGTTAGAAGAAGGACGTTATTGTGTAGACACACAAACGAACAATTTGGCTATACCTCGCCTGTATCCTCGATGTATGTAATGTTTGTCTTTACTCCCAAAGGCCAAATCACGTGGAGTTGATCTTTGTTGAGTTGTAATAAGAATACTATCAATATAAATAAAGCATTGAACATGGCAAACGCAAAAACTGATTTATTGCGAAGCTCTAATAAGTCACGTGCAATTCGAGCCTGTAAAATTACATAAGAAAGCATTAATAGAATCAACTTTCAACTGTGAGAGAGGTTCAGGTAACGCCGATTGAGATTGACATTGATTGACATTCAGTTGTTTTAACTCGCGTAGCGGTCCCCAGTCATAGTTGAAGGCCGATTGCTGTACATCCGCATTCTGTCACGTTACCTCTTGCGTGGCCTCATCATATGTAATATTAGTTTTAACTCCAAGGGGCCATTTAAAGTGAAGGTTGTCCTTGTTTAATTGTAGCAAAAATACAATAAGAACAAAAAGAGCATTGACCATAAAGAAATTAAACACAGATGTGTCTCTCAACTCTTTCAGATCCTTGGTAATACGAGCCTAAAATTTTTGGAAGAAGATTTTTTAAATACTTAATAACTAACATATCTGGAGTAAAGCTTCTTCTCTGTTTAGGTTCGTGAGAATTTTATCAATCAATAATACGTAACCAAATACCGTTATGGATTGATCAGTGAAGTGAAGAACATTTTATTTATTCAAATTTTAGTGTGTTTGGCGTTAAAATTATTTTTAATTGTTTTGATACTTTATAGCAAAATGCCTTATCCTCCTTTCAAGTTACTTCGAATTACCTGCTCCTCCTTGTTAGCATCAATAGGATATAAATATTTATCGATCAAATCTTTGAAGAACGCTAATTCAGACTGGCTCAAAAAGTCAACTTCTCCTTTCTTTAAATCTGGGTCCTCTATCCAGTATGGATTGATTAAATCGTCTCTCTTTTCCTGGAATTAAGTTTAATTAGTTCCTTAATCTGCATCGCTCTCCACTGTTTAGTCTTTTTGCAAAAAAATAAATAGGTACTTACTCTTGGCACTGTCGACATGGTATCGGTTTCGGAATCCAAATCATGTTCATCCTCTTCCCTTTCTGATACAGTCACCAATCCGTCACCATTAGTGCTCCCTCTCAAACCCACTGAAAGCTTTCTGCTTCTGGTTTGACCGTGTGGATCAATCACCCTGCAAAATAATAAACGCTACCTAGGTAACACTGAAAATGTTTAGAATGAAAAACGGCTTAATGTAGAAAGTTGCCAATACTTTTATTGTTTTTCGAAGTAATCTCCGTTCCTCTCTACACATCGTCGCATTCGATGGGACCACTGAGAAAAGCAGTGGGCCCATTCTTCCTTAGGGGTCTCTTCTATCGCATTTTCGTACGCTTTCATCGCATCTTCAGGGCTCGTAAAGCGAATACCTCGATTTTTATCTTTAGTTCTTGGGAATAAATGAAAGTCGCAAGCGCCAGGTCAGGACTGTATGGCGGATGACTCATTATCTCGACACCTGCCATAGTCAAATGTTCAACAGTCCGTTTTGCGGAGTGCGCTGAAGCATTGTCGTGGTGAAGGAAGATCCTGCTTCGAGGGCGCTGCTGTCGAATTTTTTCCAAGACAACAAGCAAACAGCGATTGACATACCAGTCTGCAGTAACTGTCCTTCCATTTCCTAGCACAACTGTCGCGAAATGACCTTTCCGACCAAAGAATGAGGCAATCATCTTTTTTCTTTGACTTTTTCTTTCTTTACCTTAGTTGGCCGATTCTTGAAAGGAAACACCCACTGAACTGATTGTCAGATTGTCTGTCTGTTTGGTTTCGGGTTTGTAGCAATATTTCCAGCTTCATCATCAAATACAGCATTTGAGTCACCGCCGTTGAACTTATCTAACATTTGGCGACACCAGTCTATGGGAAGGTGTTTCTGGTCGTCGGTTAAAGTATGGGGAATCCATCTGGTACAGAGCTTCCTGACGCCTAAATGTTCGTGTAATATTTTTTGATCTTGACTCGTACCAATGCCCAGGCTTGCCTGTACCTGCTGATAGGGCATTATCTTATCTTCCTCTATCATGCGTCGCACAGCATTGATGTTATCTTCAGTAGTCGCTGTTAAAGGAGGATCCGCGAATCACGCGAGTGATCCGCGTGAGGGATCACGCGGATCATCATTGAGATTGCTACGTACTAGCTTAAACTCGTTAAACCAATTGTAAATAGTGACACGAGATGGGGCTTAAGAAATGCTAATCGCAGCCTATCATAGCTTTGTTGTTGAGTAAGCCCACAACGCAAGTCATAATAAATCATTGACCGAAAATTTTCTCGCGTTAGGTTCATTTTCAACAAATCACAAGTGAATGCAATATACTACATTAGGCTACTAAAGAGTTCTAAAATCGAAATTCAAAAAAGTTTTCAATGTATTAGCAATGTTTCTAACTGGCCAGTTCTAAAAATTTTCAGTTTTACCCACGTACTTATGTATTAGATATTTGTTCGATTAAGGCTTTATAACTTTATGACTTTATTAACTTTGAGACTTTATGGTCATTTTAAACTGTAGTTGTAGAGATACCTACATCTTTCATTCATCATCAAGCTCAGTGGAATGTAACAGACTTTTGAGTTTTCTTACGATTTCTAATGGTCTAAAATGGCTCTGTTTTGTTTGTTTCAAAATAATCAGCAGTAAGTCGGCCTTTTTACATACACACAACTTTTAAATGACCTATCGGGCTTACTCCAAACCTAAAAATCTTTAATATTGTCAAGTGTGACCGCAACATAAAATCTTAAATCAAATGCTTACCTCTCGACGTTCTCAATCTTTTTCTCCAATTTTTCAAGTGTAGAGGCAATATGAAGTAGTTGCACCTTTTCTTCGTTTCCTTTAGGATGTGTGCAAAGTAAACATTTAAACAATCCCGCAAAAGAAAATTCAATGGAACCTTCTTCTTCGTTATTATTTACTCCTTGAAGGAATCCAAGTAATGATTTCTGTCTCGCGTTTTTCTTTGCTTCTTCTGCTGCTTTCTTTTCTGCTTCTATTTCCTAAATAATAAATTTATATTATGAATTGCTTGCCAAATATGTAGACACTAAGAAATAGCATTCAGTATTTCTGCTATTAGAAAGAGTTCTTTTAATATTTTACACTGATTTATTATCTGATGTCGATCAAACATATGGACATAAAACTTATACATTAAATAACACTATGTACAACGTAATAAATAAATAATTACACATAACCTTACTTAACTTAGAAATTATAAATCTTCCATAACAATTACCTTTTTGGTTTTCTTCTGTTGAATTTCTCGTGTACCCCACGATACGTTGTTCAGATTGATAATAGAGTACAAAATTAAAAGCAAGTACATAGAGGGGATAGATAACAGATATATAATGCCCGGTACAACACACCAAAACTCTTGAGGATGCAAACAAGCGGCGATAAAGAAGGAACCCGATAGGGATATAAGGAAAATGGCAGATGGTGAACCGATGCCGTCCTCGCCTAATTGAAGTGCCGTACCGACGATGACAGCCATCATTATCATAGCATAGCCAGTGGATAAAATTTGCGCGACGAGCAACTGAAATGTATTTGTGTATGTTTAAGAAAGTACTTATATGGTGCCGATAATATATAAGTTGTCCTGCATTTTATAGAGTAGGCACAGATAGCCTAAACAGAATGCAAATTCTTATCGCTGCTCGTATCAGATTTGTGATCAACCTTGCTTAATTTATTTATGTATACAGAGACATACAAATTGAATTATACCTTCTCTCAATTCCTCTGTTTTCATAACTACCCAACTCGAGCCGTTTCAAAACAGATATCTGTTTTTCTCGGCCCAAGTTTGCACTATTATGATATATGACTGTAAAATATCCTTACCTGAATATCTGATTTCATCGTGAAGCAAACAAACATAAATAACAAAATGGGGTACAGGTTGTATTCAAAGGAAGTCCAGTTATCAATTCTAAAAGCAGCTACGAAAGCTCCCACCAACATAAGGAATATAGTACCGGGGCCAAGAATCGTTCCACCCATCAACATCATCTAAAAATAAATTGTATGGATTAAAATTTGTTGTTTTTACAACCGTAATTTTTTTGGGTCTCGAAACAACTAATCGCTGGAAATTCCAAGTTATACGGTATATGCGATAATTACACCCACGAAAGCGGTTGCATGAATTCAATGTGTCACGAAGTCTACGTTTACATAGCCTAGGTGTTTGCATGTTACCAAAAGCTGAAACGTAAAATTCTGCTTGCTTCCCAGTTAACTAATTTATCGTACCCGCGTAAAGAAATCAGTCATATAGAAATGGATAAAAGATCTTATTGAAACATCTTATTTACCTGGTATGCAATGTAGGGAGACGAGATGTTATCGTTAATTTTGATCGTGTGTTTGTAATCCATGAGCAAGTCCATAATATTAGCGATAGTCGAGGGCACCCATCTACGTCGTTGGTTGTAGAACTCGCTGAAGCCTTCGGGACAGTGCGTGTACGCATCGGATGCAGCTGAATATTCTACTCGGTATCCTCGTTGTAGTAACAGTGTGCATAACCAACGGTCCTCCCCTGAAATATCAATCATACATAAATAATTGGTTGTTTTATGGCCGAAGAAGCATTATTTCTGCGTCTATTTTCTTACCTTCTTAGATTTGCTATCGAAAAAGAAAGAACTTTAATTTACCTTGATCGTACTGTACGTAATGCCGGGCTTCATTAGCTTTCAATGTATACTTCTTCATAACGTTGTCGTCCATCAAAGCCTTTCCTCTGAACAGCGAAAAGCATCCCGGACTACAAAGTACGCAGCCAATCATGTGTTCCGTAGCCTTTTGCATCCAATGACCAATAGCGTACTCGAATAGCTGATACCACACCATCGGACCTTAAAACATATAATACATAGAAGTCTACACGAGAGCACAGACTTAGTACATACTTGATGCAGATAATCAATAATAGCGACATAAATTTTAAACAAGAGAAATTCAAATTTGTGTCACTTCTGTTAGGAAAACGAAAAACACATTAATTTATTAATTGTGACCCTTTAACAAACAGTTACTTTTAAATTTCCTTTTTCTATGATTTATAAAAAAAATTACGAAAATCCAAGATTTACCAGATCCCACTGGATGAATACGACCGCAGGCTGCTCCTAAGTTCTTATTCTTTTTCATTAAATCAACAAGTAAACGGACGGCGTGAGGTTGGAAATCGATGTCTCCGTCGAGAGTTAACAAGTACGTGTTCTCAGCCATAAGTTCTTTACGGTCCACTGATATCGGTAGCTCCATTAGACGATGTCCCAAAAGATAGTACATGTACATCACCTGTAATATACAATCTTTATAAAGAAATGTATACAAAAACGTGTCGATTTGCAAGATATATCATGGCAGAAATAAAATACTAAGTTTTTACTTATTTCAAAAATTTCGGGAAAAAATTAAAGAATATACAATATTTAAATTATGGTTTGTGACAAAATGAAATAAGATAGCTCAGTATTACATAAATACATATTCTCTAGGATATATAAATAATTATCATAGTATTATTAGCAACTGGAAATATATAGCGAACCTGCGACCAACGTTTTTTGTGACGAATCTTCGCCTTGTCCTTCAAGTGGCATATCATTTTAGTCTTTCCTGGCAACACCCAAGTTAGTCTTCCTCCATACGGCGCAGGGTACTTCTTTGGCGGTCGGACACGAATTGTCGTCTGATGCACTTCTGAAGCCGCTTCATCAATGGTCTCCACGAGTAGTTTCACGAATCTATTGACTTGAGAATCATCGTCGCTGTGGTCCGATATTTCAAAGGCGTCGTCCAAGTATATATGGGCTGGAATAAAAAAATCAATTATTATAAAAAAAATAAAGCATACATTTTGTGTATTACAACAAAATGGATCCTTCGAACGTCTCAAAAGATTACAAGTGTGACATAAAAATAACTTACTTTCAAACTCATAATAATCAGGGTCCACAACTCTTAAATACTTCTGGGCAACTCTCCTAGCACACTGATCTTCATCCAGCCTTAGAATTGACTTCAAGAACTCCATCATTTCGTCTCTAGTCTCGTGCCACATAGTTGCGCATGCGTAAATCCTTGTAATAGAGTCAGACGATTTAACAATTCTTGGTGCAGAGCTCGTATTGTCAGTATGCACTGATATAGTTTCGTAGTACTCGTCACCCTTTTCCTTTTCTATTTCAGCGAGGTCCTGAAATTATAGATATAGTAAATAAAAAAAAAGTAATGTGTTTTATCAAATTCAAGATTTGGCACTTTTTAAATTGACATTTAAGTTATAGAAATCCAGAATCCTCAAAATTGTATATGTGTATCGTAATCATTTGTTAATAGGCAACTAGGTGATCAGCCTGTGCCTGACACACATCGACTTTTTGAGTTCAAGGCATGCCGGTTTCCTCACGATGTTTTCCTTCCTAGTACGAGTTATATGCGTACGTTAAGTCCATTGGTCCACAGTCGGGGTTCAAACTTACGACCTCAGACATGAGAGACACACACTGAAGCCACACCAATACTGCTAATATTTAGCCTTTCGCGCGCAAAGCAAGTTAAGGTATAATGTAACGTATATAAATAGGAGTTTATTTATTATAACGAGGTACTGTATCTCGTTTTTCACGTCATCGAATTTTGTTATATAGATATCTTACATTCGCTTTACAAAAGTGTTAAGGTATAAAAACATTATACAAGCGTAAACAAAAAACATAATAAAATCATAGCTACCTCGGTTTTCACATCTTTATGATCATCCCTCTTTCTATTGAGTGCCATACTTTGATCAACGAGCAATCCGCTGTACATGGGCAATATAAACAGTTTCTCAGTGGAAGCTAAACGTTCCGTTTTAGGTGTCCAAATGTGTAACGTTATCCATGTTTGAGAGAGCAACCATAACAGCCACACCCACGCCATTTGTCTAGATATGAAGTCGCTAAGGCTAAAAACTGTAAAAGAAACGTTACAAATATTTGTTGTATTAAACCTTTATATGCACAATACCCAACACTGCCTAGAAAAGTAAAAAGTTTCAAATAAATAAATGTAATCTAAGGACAATACCCATTTTAGTAATAAGTCTTATAGACATTACTATCTTTAAGACAATTTGGAGATTAGATAATAAACTTGGCGCTAAATCGCTCATTGAAAAAATCAATTTAAATTTCTAACTTCATCGTGTAGTGTGATATTATATTTTTTGCTCGACATGGTGGAGACAGACAAATTAGGCTTAAGACTAAGATCTCAATTATTGTAATGTATAGTCTAGCGTTTTTTTATGTATGTTTTCTTGCATCAAATAAATATACAATCAAACTTTTAGTACGTGACAAATGACATTTAATTATTGGCGTACCTGGTGGGCTTTCGAAGAACAAGTAATCCGGGATGGTACCATGGAAGAAACATGTATCACCATTCCTTAAGCCACAAGCTGCTATTAATAAATTAACGACTAGCGGAATGACCAAGTTAATAGGAAAGGCATAACTGAATCCTTGAATGAGAATTTTGCAAGCGAATTTCCCAAAAATATACGTGAAATAGGCAGCAAAGACTTGTATTAGAAGGACGTAGAATGCAGATTTGTGTACTGCCGCCACCTCCACAGAATCCCCTGTTAAAGTTGCATTTGCCAAGTCGGGAATTATTGTGCCTCCCAATTGAATTTGGACCTAAAAATAAAAATAAATATTGGCCCTAAAGTAAACAAGTTAATATTAACAATTAATTGATGCTTTATTTTTGTTTATACACTTAAATATTTGGTGGTGAGTAAAATAAATATTTTAACGATAGTAACAATTGCTTACGATTATTAACTCTCTTTCTAGATGCTTTCGTTAATAATAATTTACTTGAAAGTTTATTCTCACCTCTTCTACAACAATGTTATGTGGCCCAAAACCTTCTTTGAACAATTGGAAAAACATCGCTGGTTCATCACCATCCATCCAAATACACATCATAACGCACAGCATCATAAGAATAATCTTCCAAACAGAGATGAGTCTATAGATATAATAGCGGGACTGGTTCAAATTTTCCTTCAGTCTACCCAAACTTTTCATTATACCTGTAACGAAAACATTTACACATTTATTTATGTGACTATTCAACTTAGAAGATAGCGCTTGACAGGCGCTCTTTTCTTCTTTATTCGTGGTAGGCGGAGATAAAACGGTCGAACAAAAACGTTTCTTACGATGAAGATGCAGCGGGTCGCTAATAAGATATTTCCTAATGTTGACCAGCGCGCTATTTATAGACTTTATATCTTATAACTACCTTTTTCCGAGAGGTACGGATGTGTAACAAAATTACCGAGAAAAAATAGACTGGAATGGCATAGATCATTAGTTATCCGTGGTTTGTTTATTTTATATATTAATCCAAATATATAAAATAAACTGGAAATTATTTCATTTTAAGAAGGTAGCGGCGTAACTGAAAGTTGGAACCAAACAGCAAAGGCGAACGTAAGGTTTATGGGTATATTGTCAGGGGAAATATGAAACAGTTTTGTAAATGAATAAGGGATATTAATGAAAAATAAATTATGTCATTATTCAGCTATTCTATGATCTAGTCATCACAGGGTAACAAAATTACATAATTTCATTGATTTCGTTTTTAAAAATCTTAGATTATATATAAATAATAACGTAGTATGGAGAAACCGCCTATATAATTTACAATACAATGGTCTTACCAATAGGACTCTGTCGGGTCACGTAATTTTCCCACCATCCAAGAGATATGCATATAGCTGAGATTGGTATGAGCCATAACACGGGTTTATTCTCAAGAAGCGGCCACACAATGAAGCCAGTAACTTGAGCAACTATAGCCGCCATGTCGACTATAACTTTCACGAATCGTTTCGAGTCTCGAGAGTTCCGAGATAGTAGGCCGAGTATTGCTGGTATTATGCACATACAGTTCGTTATCATGGCGCCTTTGACTACGTCTAATTCGGGTAGGATTTTGAATAAGAGTAAAGCCAGACCAATCGTATGTAGTGACTCAGCTATGAACACCTGAAATTAAGTATTTTATTTATTGAGAAATGTGTTACTAAATAGACTAAAAAATTCGGTGGCGCTACAACCTCTTGCGGTCTGGGCCTCAGATGTCTGAATCTGTTTCATGATCATTTTTCAATCTAATAGGCAAGTAGGTGATCGGCTTCCAGTGCCTGACACACGCCGTCGACTTTTTGGGTCTAAGACATGTCGGTTTCCTCACGATGTTTTCCTTCACCGTTCGAGCGAATGTTAAATGCGCACATAGAAAGAAAGTCCATTGGTGCACGGCCGGGGATCGAACATACGATCTCAGGGGATGAGAGTCGCACGTTAAAGCCACTAGGCCAACACTGCTCAAAATAGACTTAGAGGTAGTTAATTAAAAGTTGTGCAAGATATTATCTATGTTTTAATAAATATGGATAAATTTAAGCTAAAGTTAAGCTGAGTAGGTTATGGCAAGGTTTAAATTTCACGGTGGGTTTTTGTCGTATCTTCAGGTTTAGACAAAGTGCCTGTGTCCTTATACAGCTGAAGAGACGGTGTTACATGTTCTGACTGTCCAATGTATGGATACAACAGGTATAACACTGAACAAGCTATGGGAATAAAAGTAACAGGTAAAGAAGCATCTTTCTGGAATTTGCTGTAAATGTCATACAAAAAGTTGTTAAAAGATCTAGGTAGTAGTGATTAAACATCCGGGTTACCAATACTATTTACGTAAGTTATTTAATACCTCCGACGACAACATAGTCGGGGACTTATCTAGAAAATATTTACGTATATACCTTACCTTCTGTACTTTTCGTTTTTTTTTGTATCGCCGATAAGATAATATCTTACACATTTTCCTATACTTACCACAATAAATTGTATGCTTCTTGGCTTCTTTGATGACTTGAAGAAACATATCCTAACAGATCGTATGAAGGTTCCTACTTCGGGTATCGCAAACGCAGCCAGAATCACCCACATCCAGGCCACACGCTCTTCATCTGGTAAACTTACGACAAATTGTTTATCCCTACCTGAAATTGCATAAAACAATACATACAGTAAAAGATACTTTCATAATTCGACACAAATGATTCATACAAAGGATAATAAATTCCAGTGAAATTTGATCACATATTTTTTACTTAAATGTTTCACTTTCAAATTGTATATCAATAATATTTCAATTGCTAGTTTAATTATCAAATAAATGAAGTGTGGTACTTTAATTGTTTTCTAAGAACTCTCAATTACATCTTCAACATCTAAGATTCTTAAGATTTCTACAGTCCGTGGTAATCTTTTGTAAAAATTGCTAAATTAATGATTTTCCAAAATTAAGTAAGAAATTTTCCACCTCACCAAAGAGGATGTTAGGAAATATTTGAAAAGGCGGGAAGACTTTGTTTAGCAGTAACAATCTAGTTTTTTCTTTGAAACATTAAGTTTTTTGTTTAATGTTAAATTTTAGTTATCTTTAATTTTTTTATGTATTAATGTATTTACTAAACAGTGTACAAATACTTAAAGTAGATTATCTATGTTCATGAATGACCGACATATGTGAAATTCAAATTGGTATGACATTTTTATAGTGTAATGGTAACATTTATAAATTAATAAATTTTATTTCTTTAAATAAATACGACTTAACATAAAAATTTATAAAAGAGTCCCTTTAGGCAAGGTTCGAAATATATTCCCCCTTTGAATTGCTAGACTAATTCGTCCGAGTATGCCAGATCTTCGGTCTCCTGTATTCGACTACCTTTTGAAATTTCTTTAAAAACCTTAAAGCGCTAGGACCCACGGACCAAGGGTCCACACGGGGACAAAATCATATTCAGAGCCCAGACCCCTGTATTTGCCTGCTTTATTTTTTTCAGCCGCTTCACAACCGCACCAGCTCTGTAGTTGGTTCCATGTAGATGGGAAGGGGCCAGCGTGTCTGAACGTTGCTCCCATACCAGTACCCGACCCATCTTCCATGGAACAACATACCGTCCGGTCTCTTCTGTCTCTTGCAATACCACTGGCTCAAGAAGACTTGGCACGTTGACGGTGGCAAGGGAACGGCGTATGATATCGTTAAGTGCGGCATGTCTCGAGAAGCGGCCTGCACTTTGGCATGACAGGCCGTATGTCCTAACTTCGACATCACTGCCACAGGGACATATATGAGGAGCGCAGACCGGAACCCCAAGCCTAGACAGGTTGCGATTCGAAGCGTGTCAGGCTCAAGAAAAGTTCCTGTATTTGACGATGGGTAAGCGTGAAGCCATACCGGCCTCATGCTCCCAGGCCAAAAGCCTAGCACGCGCCGAACCCGTACTACGACTCAAAAGATCGTCAAAAGTCAACTTGCAGTGTATGTCATCCCAGCTCCTCTGTGAATTTAGAGATAATGGAAAATTTTGACCTGGGCATGCAATCAAGAAAGCGTTTCTAGCTTCTTCCAAGCCAGCAATCTCAAAGTTTGAAGGGGATGCCCTTAAAATTTTACTTATGAGATTTGCTGAACTATGGACAGAAGATAGAGGCTGGTAAAGCGACACTGAAATTTTGCGAATCCCTAAACCACCATAACGGATGGGTAGGGAAGCTTGGGTCCAAGATTTCTCGTTCAGCTGCATATTAAGAAGTGATTCTAAGCTAATTTTGATTAAGTCGTCAATGGTGTTAAAATATCTGGGTGATTCCAAAAGGAGCCAACGAGCACATACGTAAATTTGGGAGGAAAAGACAGAATTTTAAGATGCAAATGATAATTGGACTATTTCAAGGAGACGTCACAGAATTTTGAAATTATAATTGAAGTATGAATTAAATAGATTCATTAAAAATTGGAGAACCTAAAAGGTAAAGGGAATTCCTGTTAACTATTTTAATATTTGGAGCCAAAATTTGAATTTTTTTTTTACATCATTAAATTTAAGTCGCAGTTATTTATGAAAAGTTCGCATTTGTTAAAATTAAGCTCCAAACCAATGGCTTCAAATTTATTTTTGATTAAAAGAAGGTCCGAAAACACTTCCCATCACCTCCAGGGTTCCGTCTCCAAATCAAAATTGAAATTAGAATTTAAATTTTGATTATGGGATTTATACCAAACAAAATGAGGCCCAAGGGATCACCCTGTTGACAACTACTTCCGAGGAAAGTTCATTAGAACGATATAACAATTTAGTTGGATCAGCTAACTGAGAAGAAGATAATTGTATATTTCCGGTATATGTTGTTTTATTTCAGTCAGCAGGGTATCCTATTTACCGAATTAAATGCATTTTCACATCAATTTTGAGCAACACGTCTGGCTGTCCGTGACTTAGGAAAGAGCGTAGGGCATGGACGCTGCCTCCACCCTCCTTTCACACCGAAGCCTAACTGTACAGGTTCAAATTCTGAATTTAATTTTGGTAAATTGTCGAACAGCAATTTTGGAAGCCAGACGTCTTAGTGTTGACAAGCAATTGGTCTCACCCCTCCGTCCTTTTAGTGAGGGCAATGAGGTTCGCGCCGAAAAGAATGGGAACAATTTCTGTATTGACATCCCGGAATACATAAAATTTTTAATTTTGTGATCGAGTTAATAAGTTGCTCGCCTGCATCACCCACAGAATGCGATGTTAAATCTTTCAAATTTGGGGTGAGATTCCATCAATCCTGCTGCCGAACCTGGTTTAAAAGATAAAATTGCATCAGTTACATCTTTGTTTCGAATTTTAAGGCATGCTTGCCCTGCTGTTGGTGGGTCGAGAAAATATGGGTTTACTGGAGTGGGGATGTTTAGTCCGTAATGCCTCAATGGTGTCAGGCGTATCTGGCGATAGCACTCATTGGAGAACAAAAACGAGCACCTTTAAGATCTCCGTCACAAATTTTGTTCTCGATGAGTTGCGATTAAAAGGGGCATCATGTTTAATTAGAGGTGCGGGAGAAGGTGAGGAACTTACAGCACAGTTATTCTTTATCTTTTGTGTCAGGGATAAATTCGGTTCATCAGTTTTTATTATGTGTAGTGTACTGTATGAAAATAAAAATAAGTTCTGCCAGTCTTGAGTACAATTGCTTTATAACATTTCTGGATTTTTTGACAAATGTGTGCAAGTTTTCAGTCTCCAGAGGGATTCTTTTAAAAGAATAAAATAAAAAATTTAATTTTTTTCCTTTTATTTTCTTTTTTTTTTTTTTTCTTTTCTTTTCTTTACTTACTTATGTTTTCTGTTTCATATATATTGTTTATCTATGTAATCAGTTTTGGCTTTGTATATTGTCTAAGTGTTTTGTTTTATAATATGTATGTTAGCTGTAAGATAACTAAATAATAAATTGAATAAAAATACGAATATGTTTACTTACCTAAATTCCTATTACAATAAGCTAGTCTTCTATCTTTTCTTAACTGAGAAGTCATAAAGAGAATAGTTCCTTTCGCTACAACGCCAGAAGCAAGTACTACAATAAATGTAATTGCATATGCTAAGATTTTCAGAACTCTGACTGTGAATTCCAAGCATTTTTGACTTTCCATGGACCCACTGTCCTGCTTCGGCGGGAATTCTCTGAAAACGTCCCATCCTTTCGTTTCTTGTACTGTTCTTTGGCTGGAAAACAAGAAATAAAAATGTTAGTGAAAATAATTAAAAAGTCTAAAACTACGACTCTGGCGTGTCAAAACATGTATTCGACATTCGTCAAACTTAGTGTCGAGTCTAAAATAGGGTTAGTATCTAATAATTTATATGTCTTTCTAGAAATATTACACATATTTAACCAACTACGATTCTTAACAATAACATTTATAGAAAAAGCCCATGTCCATTGATCCTCAACTTTAGGGCACTCAATTTACTGTTTGGTGGTCTTCTATTTATTTAAGTAGCACATATTATTAACCCTTTGACATTTGCCGAAGAGATAGAAAAATATATATAAAATATCTACTATACGTCCACCTTCAAGGCAGCATTTATGAAACCACTTTCTCACGCGTTGAAGGTAAAACGCACTTCCTATATTTCCGGTAGCATGGATTAAGTTTTTGTTCTAGTTAAGGTACTGTTACAATGCACTGGTTTCGAAAGGCTAAGTTGTGACAGACCTTACGTAAGTTATGGGTATCATAAATCAAAACTACACGTTGCAAATATTGCGACAAACAATCACTTGAGGATAGTTTGTTGAAGTGAATATTATTTGATTGTTCATACATTAATTAGGTTAGGTACACAGTAATGCAATTATTTTAATTCCCGTAACTGCCCCCTGAGGTAAACACTTCCCTAAACCTGTTTCATTGATCAGTTTTTAATTCAAGAGCTGATAAACCCTCGGTTCCTAATGACCCAAACCTTCAGTTATAGGTTTGGGTCACCCAGAAAGTTTAAGAATTTGTTACCACGCCCGAAAACTACGATGCCACGGAGGTGGTCACAAATACAATTTGTATACATATTGTAAAACGCTAAGGTATTAATTAAATAAATATTGATACCGTCGAACGTAACGGACACTAAATTAAAAGATCCCTTCCAAATACACGTATTTTTTAGGGTCATACATTTTTATGTATAAACGTATTGAGTGATTGAAAAAATAATTTCATATAATTATTCAGAATCTAATCTTTATATAGAATCAAATAATGTGTAAAAATTATACTAACTTTCATATGATTAATTATAATTATTAACGAACCAAGTATGCGCTAATTTCTGTATTGACGTAACATGCTCTTAAAACAATATTTAAACCATAAAAATTGGATGAATTATTTAAAATATACATATCATTTTTAAGAGAAATACCCAGTGGTCACCCTAAATATTAACACGTCAATCACTTATTTACGCCTTGCCATCGTGCTGAATACGACAGTAGAAAGTTGTCGACGGTATTCATACGTGTACTTAGAACTCTTCCTGTTTTTAATTTTGTTTGATTAATGTTAATTATTGCATCTACATTTTATGTAAAACTTAAAGATAGGACTAGTTAACATTATTTCTTAACTTATAATTAACTTTCACGGTACTCTTCTAACCATTGCTAATTAATTTTTAATATAAATTGTGAATCAAGAATAAATTGTATATTTTTACAACATACCTGTAAATACTACAATAGTTACTGTAAATTGAATTATTATTATTATTATACACAGGTTCTTCAAGATCTTGCCTCTCATAGTAAACTTTGCGTTCGTGTTCACTCATTTTTACATCACGAAACACTTGTTTAAAATTAAATATAGAAAATTAATAACTCATTGTTAGAGGACAGCAAACGGTGATTGGCATAGAAGTACTGGCCGCGCGCTACCATCGCCAAACGAAACGTTGTCATGGCGGACCATTCTTGAATATTAATATGTCATATTTGCTATATAAACCTCATTTTTAACCGTCTTCAAAAAATCATAAGTTTACTTTCATTCAACTTGTATTTTTTTTAAGCAAAAGCATTATCTTTAAGAAGTATTATATGTTTACACATATTATATCGTGCGACAATTCATATGAAATTATAAATATATTAAAATAATAATATTTTTTTCGCATCTGTTCGCTTTACACTGAATATTTGATAGTACATATAAAATATATACAATGCAATACTTAAATTATTGTATAAATAATAAATACAAAATTTTTATTGTATAAATAAAAAATCCTCTTCGAAAACCATGCATGGATATTAAAACTATAGCTTTAACTACCGCTAATTAATAAAAAATATCTTAGTGTTAGAGAAAGAAGCACAATTTCTTCGTTCTGCGGCAGTGGGCAGGTGAAATTATATCGCTGTTAATTATAAATACGGACACCAGATCCATAGATTACAAAGTAAAATGAAAGTGTTCTATTTATCAACCAATTATGATTAAGACAAAGTATCAATCTAAGAAAGTTACAGATATTATATTAGATATTTTAAAATGTGGTTAAAGAAATAACTATGTCAACTTATAATTTTTTGCGGTGAGTTATTTAAATAATCTAGCATTTCTAAAAGCAGTGTAGGCCTAGTCTTCAGCCTGCGACTCTTATCCCTGTGCTCGTTAGTTCGATTCCCGACTTAATGGATTTATATGTTCGCATTAAACACTCGCGTGTACGGTGTAGGAAAACATCGTGAGAAAACGTACATGTCTTAGACCCAAAAACTCAACAGTACGAGTATGTGTCAGCGGCAGAACGCTGATCACATACTTTTGCCAATTAGAAATACAAATGATTATGAAACAGATACAGAAATCCCTAAAAGAACTGAATTTTTTTGGTATATTTATCATTAAAAATTTTCAATTAGATCCTATCCCGTAACTTCTATATCAATTCCGATTTCCATATCAAGTTTCCTTTCCACATAATTCCAACTGTGTATTAGCAAAGCTACCTTTAAAAAGATTACATCGAAATCGGGTTGCATCGTCAGATTTTGAAAGGGTAACCTTTTTGTTACTGATGTAAACAACAAATAATTTTAAAGATTGAATTGGAGAACAAAAAGTTTATCTTTCTTTTTCTGTTTTTTTATATATGACGGAGGGACTGGTGTATATTTTTATACAATAAATGAATAACAATATTATTCCATTATTATGCGAAGGGTTTCACCCAAATTATTAGTCATTTTAAATATCAAAATTGCTTTATATGACCTCGTAACATTCACGATCTAGACACAGAATTGTTTGCAACGAATGCCTTAGTGAACAAAGGATTTTCAATGTCGTTTGGCGCAAAATTCAGACCCTTCCGAACATTAAACTCCTTTATTATGATATCTACTTAATAATAAAAATTCTGTGGCACTAAGTAGGGATTAGCTTTACGTGCAGGCACATACACACGTTGTTGATTTTTGGATTACTGGGATTTATGGGTATGGGTTGGTAAGATTTAGCGAACACAGACTTACTAAATTAATTGTTAGTGCTAAGTCTTGACTCTGAATCTTACACTAAGACAACAATTTGAGGTAAATTCATTTGAGGTAAATTAAACGAAGACCAGCGCTCTTACTCTTAATGTCGGCTTTAGAAGTTTGAAGGAGCAACAAATGAGTAGAGGCCCCTAATTATTTTCAAAATAAAATTTAACAAAATGTACACTCCGGTTTCCAAAAAATATTTATTGTGAAACCAAGTAAAGAAGTTCTTTAAGCACATGCCTAACACTATTTATGAAATTTATAGTATTAACAAACGATGATATGAATATGACGTGATTTTTATTTTTGAATAGTCGTGTGGTTTTAAAACGACCTTACCACAGCTTCGTCATATTTTTTTGCAATAATTTAGTAGTAACGGGTTTTGTTATTTGTAACTAAAACATTTTATATTAAATGCGTGACGATTAAAGGTTTTCCTAACTATAAAGTCAATTTTAACTAACAATCCAGTAGATACTTAATTTTCTACAATACTAGTTATTAAACTATGATAATGACCAATCATTACTGTTCTATAATGTTTACGACACTATTTTCACGTGTCCTGATAAGTAACTTTCTTATATATATTTGAAAACTCTAATACATAAACACAGGAATAACAAAAAGACAAGTTCAGATTTGGGTTACGATCTGAGATGGGAACATATATCCACGTAGGCATAAAATAGAAAAACATTTTTATACTTTTGAGGGTTAATTTTAGTTAGCTGCATGTTCATTTCAGTATGTTCTTAGTATTTGGTAAAATAAGACATTGTATTCGATAATTTAGTATGCAAAGAGGCATCTTATTGAAATAGTCCCGGCCAATGACCGAGCAATATTTTTTTAAGCTATAAACCAGTACAAACTCATAAATTGTGTGGAATTATTAACTAATTGAGTAATTAATGCGACAAGTGGTAATTGCCACGTGAAGAAATCATCATTACAATGCGACAATTATAGAGTAACTAAGAAAACTGTTGTTATTAAATCCTAATAATTTTCTTGTATTATTTTTGTCTAATTCAGGATATAAGAAATTTTTGAACCATTACATAAAACATACTGTTTATCCAAATGAAAATTTTAATAGTTGTATACTCATATATATAATATCATGCTATGAATTACCATAGACAAAACACCATTTGAGACTATAGAATTAAAATTGGTGACACAAATTTTAAATTTAGAACAATTTGAAATAACATATGAATTTGTGTTACACTTAGTATTTCTAATCTACGATTTTTACGTTGTGTCATTATTTAAGGTTATTGATAAAAGTCAATATTACATTGAGACAAAACCCGTTGTTTTTAAATACATATTCTAAACACGTCTGACCCGGTACTCAGTCGGTCTGCTCACAGTTTTGTTGTTTTGTAGCCAGCTTTTTAGAGACAGCGTTGATAATGTTTGCGTTATAAATTTGTATTATTTAAACAGCTTGTTTATTTCTATTCGTAGAATTATTGTATTTATAGTTATGAAGCAGATGCAGTCATTTGTTAAATGTACTTAGGTTTTTGAACTGTAACTTTCATGTCGCAACCTTGTAAAATCACGGTTCAAAAACCGATCATTCAAGTCGGGATCGCTATTGGGAGTTACAGAATACCGTAGCAGATCTATGAAACAGATAAATCGGGATGGAATGGAATGTATACGTAGACAACGCAGCTCACGATGAAACAATCTACTTAACAATGTATATTGTTAAAGTTGCTATATTTAGTCTAATAGAAAATCAGCCGTAAGGCCATCATATTATTTATATTTTTATTAGTATAACTAGTGCAGAAATAGCATTTTACTTCAACGGTCTTCGCAATAAGGAAATAAGTGGGGCGCAAAAATGTAGCGCACTGATCGAAAGTTGTGTCGTCAGAGTTGACAACCTTGGCATTTGAGCGGGTTCCGGCCGCTCTGACCACTAGCTTAAGCTAAGAATATTATTAGTGTATAGTATATCTATCTATATATATAAAAATGAATGGCAAAGTATGCGGCTAAGCGCAAAACTCAACCTGTTCGCGTCCTGGCTGGACCAATTCGAGTAATTATTTTTAATTTATTTCTGTAACTCTGAGGAAGGTCGAGAAATTAAAATTAAATGAAAAATATAGTTTTATTTAGTAATTAGGTTATTATTCCAGAAAAACAGTTTCTATGGGGTAGCAATGTTTCCATATATCGGTAGGTACTAAAAAGTAGGGTGAGTAAAAAAATCATAAAGGCGAAACGAAGTTCGCGGGGGCAGCTAGTAATATATAAAAAGATAAAAACAGACTGTCTGGCAATAGTTTGAGAGCAAGTGCGTGGTAATATTTTCATTCGAAAAAAACATTTTTTTAAATATTTAACTGCTGATATTCAAGTAAAGAAAAATCATTTAATAAACCTATTAGTTTTCTTTTGTTCAGTAGGGCTTTGCTAAACACCTAATAAATAAAGTGCTATTTGATTTACTCCCGCGATTTAGATTGAGTTCTGTATTGATGAATCATTAAGGCGAAGAAATTTATATATGTGAAAGAACTTCATTAAAAGCAGTATAATGACGCAACCCGGATACGAATAAAATATTAATCCCGATATAGATATTTGCACATATGTCAGTAACTTGATCAATGCCATTTAACTGCTGGAGCCATGATACTTTTTTTAATAACCATACTATAAGAATAATTATCCAATTGGCCTTTAATCATCTGCAATGCACCTAAAAGTGTATTTTTAAGTAGCTTTAGAAGTTAAATTATCCTTGAGTTATCAAAGTTTAATAAATATAAGTTTCTGTATTCTACGTATATCGATCATTATAACCAAAATTTGTTTAATTTGCACGTGTTTCATGTTCTTTTGAAATAAATTAAAACCTAAAATAATTGATTGACCTTCAAGAAATACCAACTGGTTTGTCAATGAAAACATGGGATATTCTGCGGTTTATCTAATAATTATTGCGGTGAATCACAGAAAATATGGCATTTCTAAGCAGATTCTATATGTGTGTTGTCATAGTTATGCGAGTGAGTGAGATGATATCATTGTAGGCTTTACGCAACGAAGAGAGTATCATATTCTATAAGAGAAACAGCCAAGGTCTTGTATACGAAAGAATATGGCGATTTTAGAAATTTTGTGTTTCTATGTAAACATTATATTTACTTTGTAAATTGTTTGTATGAAAGGATCTGTTGAGACATGACTTTCAATAAAACATCGTAACAATGTAATACATCTAACAATAAATGGTTTTATTAAATACGCAAATAAAGTAAGAAAATAAAGTTCGGTAACTTTGTGAGCAATTTCTTAGTCTAGTTCTGTATAAATTTACGCGTGACAGGAGTAGCTAAGGAGCACCAATTTAAATAAATCAAGTACTTACCACGAAACCATAGAGATTAGAAACTCAATTCAATTGGCAAATGGCGTACCTTCCTCCATATGTGTCATTATTTAGTGGTGATAGTTCGTCGTCAGAATTGTCGCTCTGCTCCTCCCTCCGCGCCTTCCCGCCGGAGGTCGCCATTTTGGATCTGAAATTTATTCACTATTTTTATTAAATATTATACTCAAATATTATGCCAAAAGTATGTTAATCTAAATTGTGATTTACTGTCGTGTTTTAAACGCTTAATTGTTTTTGATAGACTGAGATCAAACAAGATGATCGATAAATAAAGTATTTTCTACTACTTCATAAAAAAATCTTATGTGTTAAGTAGTTTTAAGACATTACTCTAATTATAACTTGTATTTATTTTTATATATCATATATTTGTGATGAATCTATTGTTTCTTCTTGAATAAATAAAAATCCAACAGCGGATTAACCAAACAAACTCTTATGTTATTTAATATTCAAATAGTATACATTTGTACGTAAACATAGGTTTATGTATACATTTTATCAAATGCATAAACTTATATACATACGTTTATGCATTTGCTTATAAAGCTATATAATTTTACAACATTAATTGGTAGACGAAACATATCACGACCTAATGCGTGATCGACCGGTTTTTCAATGACTTTGGCAACATTTGCCAATACATATTTTATGATTTTCCAATGATTTATGTTATTACTACGATAAAACATAATCGAGATTTTATACTAAAACACTATCTAGATTAGACTTGCGACTTACCCGCTTTGAATTAAGATTAACTATCTTATTAACATTTTAAAATTGAGTTAGACAACCAAAATGTGTTCAGCAATTTTTAAGTTTGAAGGATTTTAATGAAGTTATTTTTTAATAATGCTTTTTATAGGTACTTAGTATAATATCACAAGAGTTTGTATAATATTAATTGAATCAATTGGACCATTACATTAATTTTTAATTATATACTTTATATTTTAGCTTTGTACAATAAACATTATATTAAATATTTTATTTACAATGCAACAGCCATGCCGTGAATCATATCCCACTTTAAGATAGCGCATAACTTAAAGGTCGATAATCTCTTGCAAATAGTATTTATAATAAATATATTTTTCATGTTTAAAGAATATATAGTTATACTGTTTATAATGAATAATTCACCTTATTCGATACTGGAATCAAAAACCCAGATAAAAAAACTTGAGTTAGTTATATTTAGCTCCAAGAAATCTACATAGTGAAGTTTATGCAGAAAAGCGTTCTACAAAAAGAGGAGTCAAAAGGGCGGATAGTTTTCTTTACTACAGATTCATAATATGCCAACTGTTTCCGCAATAACCAGTGTAAAAATAAAAGTCTAAAAAGAAACGTATGCCCTTAAACGTTTCTATCAGTTTTATTGTTCTTTTTATTAGCGTCCAGGCCGACAGACCGAAGGTCAGCGACTTCCTCGCGTAATGGACAAAGAGTTTATGCGGGCTCAAAACTTAAATGCGATTAAGAATAAATCCTTTATTATAGCTAGGATAAGAAACTCTTATCATTTTTTTTTAGATTCAGGGACCAGCCAAAAAGTGTTATATATCCTTTTAACATTTTCAATATGTTTATTTACTTAATATCCATCAGAGTTACGGAGGTACCCACTACTAGTTGTTATATCAAAGATTTATCGAATAATAACAATAATATATTAAAATCCTTCTTTTGAGTGTGTATATTACACATGCGTGGATCAAAGCTTACACCAAAATACCAGATTATGTACGGTTTACTTTCACTATTGACGGCCAGTGCCCCCCACTGCCTGACTCATGGCGCAACCTCACGCCTTACCTTACTTACTTATTCTTTTTACAAGTTAATTTTGTGGATTTCTTAGATTAAAATGATAATTTTAATAAAACATGAATATGTTGTAATCGTTATAATGATATGAATTTTATTACAAAATGGCGCTATTCGTATGTTAGTTTAGGAGTTTATTCTCATATGAATAATTAAATTAAAAGGTTGCATAAACTTATTTTGAATGTATACTAAATATCCAATGCTTATTACTTTGTACTTAGATATTTAACAATTTTGAACTTTATAACCGCGTCCATGGCTTTAGGTACCGCTTAAGGCGTACTTGACTATTTGCTAATTGTGAATCAGTCGCAGAACCCCACATGAAATTTTACCAATGTAAATAGTTCAACAAATCAATGGTTCGGTATTGTATTGATATGATACACTCAATAATAAAACATTGACAAACTGTAACCTCCTTATGGTTGAATGCCTCTCAAGGTACATGAGACATTGCGTGACAGGTTATATTGCGTATCCATGTAACATTTATAACGTAATGTTAATATATTAGGTTTAAATACAATTTACAGTTATGGACATCACAATTACTTTTTTTTACTACTGAAAGTTAACGCTTAGAATTTTGATGCATTTTATACCGCTTATGTATGCAGATAGGTATTACAAAACTCGCGCGAGCTATTGCAAGCGCGTTGAATTCTTTTATATAGGGTAAAGTTTTGGTGCAATGTATAACACTGTTAGTCTCTCTATAAAGCCAGAGAAAGAGGTTACAAAATTTTTATAATAAATAAAATTGGTTCTTCAAGACCCTTTTGAGGTAGTACTAGAGTTTTGCAATTATATTTTTTCGTAAATACATATTACTTGTACTTGATGATACTTGTATATTCTGTTACTACAGAACTAAAAGAAAAATGATAAAGTAAACAATAATAAATTATTAATATAGTTTTCTACGTCCAATTAGTTTACAGTATATTTGTAAGGGATAAAATTAACTTACGAATCACGACAGTATCGCAATGCCGCGATGAAATGCTGCTAAACTTTTGAAATTCATGTCAGTTTTCTATTTATTAATTCTTAATTATTATTATTATTGCTATATAGGTTAAGAATATGAATAAACATTAACTTAGGACTAAGTATTTATATTAAGCAGGGTGTATATTAAAAATCTATGATTTTGCAATTTGTCCTCGCCAATTCGAGTTAATTTGATTATCGTTTCAGGTACACGCGAGCCTGCAATATCCTGAATGTGCGTTTATTCGTTTGTAAAAAAATATTACGAAACAACTTGATTTTAATATCACAGCGTAGCCATGACCATTATTTTCCGATTTCACTTAACTATAGTAAATTAGTGAAAATTATAGTTACTACAAACTCCGATAATTATAAAGTCAAACGTCGTTCCTATGTAATAACAACGTTTAAGCTTAATTTTCACAGCTACTAAAACGAAATATTCTCTGCTTAATTTTTTAAATAAAGTAATAAAAATCGATGAAGGAAGATGCATATCTCAACATATGCCACAGTTTGAAACGCGTATTTTTCACGTCGATGAAGTTTCAAATTATCACGTATTTATAAGTATACTATCGTTCAGTCCCGGCTTCGCTGGATATTTATTGTATTAAATATAATAATTACACATACTTTGCTCTAGTGTCAATAGTTTCCGCAGTGCATGCGATATAGGAATTTTTTCCCACTTTGGTTTTCGTCCAAGTTTTCATACGCATCATTAACTTTATGAAAATATTCTATAGGCTATGTTCATCAGGGATGATGTAAGATTCTAATGGTGAATGAATTTTCACATCATTATGTTTTTTCTAATATGCGATTCATCGTTTGACCTTATTGAAACGAATGAATATTTAAAATCTAGGAAGTGTTTTCATTAATATTTATAAGCTGATTTATTACTATAAGAATGCGACATATATCCAAATAAGATTTCTACATTTTCATCATTGGAAAATAGTTGCTCGTGAAAAATCGAAGAATAGGCGAGATGTCTCCTGAACTTCGCGTCTATAAATTACAATTGATCAGATAATCATCCATTTTTAAATAGTTTATAGTTACCGTCAATATTTAAATGTACTCTTAAATCCTAAATTAAACTGGAATTCACTAATGCGTAGGATAGCAATTAAAATTACGAAACGATTACAGCTAATGCCATAAGCGTAATTAAAAGTTAACTTGTTCTTGGCGAGTAACAGTTGGGTCATAACGCATTGTTTTTTGTTAATTATGTAATAATTATTACGGAAACACTAAATTATTCAAACTTAGAACGACCCTCGAGACCGGATATATTCGAGGACCAAGCTGCCACGCACAAATTCACAAAGAAGTCAACACGATTTCTTTGACATTAAATGTCACATCTAGAGAAATTTCTCGCTATTACCAAGAATTTAATTTCTCTTCATATTAGCATTAGTAATTAATACAATTCAATCGATATCTTAAGTACCCAAATCAAATTTAGAATAACGACAAAGATATTATAAAGCTATAACTTATTCATAGATCGTTGATATTTTTTGTAACGATATAAAATACCAGTGATTACGTTTACAAGGTTTCTCGCTCTTACTTATCGACTGAGCAGCCTACATTCACTTTTGTTTGGCATTGCACGATCTGCAATAGTTATATCTAAGTCTTATACAATTTTTATTTGGCAAATTGATATGATCTCAATAAGTTAAATAACAACGACACTTTAGGTACATATCCTGAATATAAATACTTTGTTCTTAATATTGTCATCTACATTTAAAAACCCCACGATTTCGTCAAGTCACGGCTTCGCACTTTCGAAAACGAATCTTAGTTTTTAAAACTTCTCCGCTCTTTAAGAAATTGCAATTAACAGTCACTAACGGTCGTTAAAGTAGTTTCAAGCTTATGTATACTAATTTTAAAATCCTAAAGGAATTAAGGTATGTATGGATTAGGGCTAGACTTTCTTGACAGCTGATGGTATGAGGCGGTTGGATCAACTTAAATAAAAAAACTATTTTTAATATTTAAATTATGACGCTTAAACGTAGTACAATGATAGTTTATAAATAACTTACGGTTAGTAGAAGAAAGAGAAATCCGTAATGTGTGTCACTATATAAGGTTCACTCGCGAGAGTCGCATTGTGCGGCTGTGTTGTCGGGTCGCTGCGCGCTTACTGCCTTGCGCCCGCGGTTCACGCGACCTCTCACTTTAGAACTTTACTTTCTGACCAGGTTTTGTCTAACTATTTTTTATCTAAATAAGTACTTGATTTAACC